GGGGGGGGGGGGGGAGTGCGCTAGAGCACAGCTCTTTGGCACGTAGCCAGCATGGGCTGTGTGTTTGTTTCCTCTTCCTGCTGCCCCTGAGGTCTCTGGGACTTGTAGTCCAGAACTGTACCTGCAGGGTTGCTCATCACTTCCTCTTCCTGCTTCCAGGTGCCTCTGGGATTTGTAGCCCAGTCACAGCCAGCAGCAAGTTTAGCAACACAGGGCAGCTCTGTACTTGGGGGAAGGTGAGTTTAACCCCCTTCCCTGGCCCCATACCCCAGCCAGGGCTTGCTTGTGGGGGGCCAGTGCACCAGCCAGTGAGACAGCCCTCGCTACTCCAACTAGGGGGTAGAGACGTGGAGCCAGCCCTGCTCTCTGGAGCAGACAGCACAGCCCAGCAGAAGGCTGCAAAACATGCTGGGATGCTAGGAGACTGTGATTTAACTTGAACCGGGCAGGGGTCTAGGACAAAAGTTTCATAAACTGGTTTAACCTAAATCAGTTACATCTGATACTGCATTCAACCAGGTTTATATGAAACCAGTTTCAGCCATTTTGAAACTGGTTTATGAGTAACTTCTGTCCCTAGTGTAGAAGAATACCAAAAGTATAAAGGGAGTGGAATTAAAATGCACTTCTGCATAGACTGAATTACAGTGATGAAAGTCTGCTCTGAAATGACTTTGCCCTCAGTCTCACTCATCAAGGCTCAGTGGCGAGAGAGAGTCAAGGCAACTGGATATGAGGTTTCTGCAGTATATGGATGGCTTACAATATCTAATGCACCTGTAGTAATGATCTCAGCCAGAGGTAGGCAACGTTTTTGGCCAGTGTGCTGAAAAAACTGCAATGTCTTCCTCTGTAAGGTGCCAGAGTGCTGACATGCCAAAAAAAACGAGGCGGGGGGCAGGAAGGTACATGGCAGGATACACTGCATATTAATATAGTTAATCATCACAAACACTGCTTTTTTTCACAATAAATATCAAGTTTTCTAAAAACTGTAACCCTGGTGACAATAAATAATGCTACCTTTGTTCTTATGTATTCTTTTTTGTTAAGCATGTTGTGATAAGGGAGAGAAAAAAAAGGAAGACAGAAAGACAGACACAAAGAGGAGACAAAAAGGGGAGAGAGAGAAGGGAGAGAAAAGAGAGAAAGGAGAGACAAAAAAGAGAAAAAAGAAAAAGAGGAGAGAAAGAAAGAGAGAGAAAAAAAGGAAAAAGAAAGAGGGGGTGTCTCTCACTGCCCACATCTCCCACCACTACCAGCTGTAGCTGAGACCTGCTGGTCCAAGGCAGTATCCGAGGGAGGTGAGGAAGGCAACAACACCCCAGCAGCAGCTGCTAGGGCCAGGATGCTCAGGCCTCCCCAGCTGTCCTGAGGCAGGGGGAGCCCAAGCCCAGGGCTGGGACAGAGGGCCAAGCCGGGGCTGATACAGACAGATGCCCATCCCAGCTGGGCAGGGACAGTACTGGGGAGCCAAGCACCAGAGCCAGGTGCTCAGGGCAGGGTCTGGGCATCGCAGGGAGAAGCAGATGTGGGGGAAGGTGCTGGAGGCAGGCTGGCCCAGCTGGGCCCTTCGGAGGGCAGCAGCCACAGGAAAGTGGGGGCCAAGTGGGAAGTGGGAGCTATCCCGGGGCTTTCCAGACTCAAGCCATGGCAGGAGAGCCCAGTGGCACCCAAGGTGGGGCCCAGCCAGGCCCTCAGGGGAGCTGCCAGTGGGCAAGGCTGGAGCCCATGCAGGCCGGGGCAGCCACAGCAGCTGTACCTGGGAGCTCCTGTGGCCAGACCCTTGCACCAGGTGTGGCTCTATTCCATTCACGCTGTACTTGGTGTGCAGGGAGGCCGAGTCTGGAGCCAGAAGCCCTCCAGGACTCGTGTCCTGCCCCAGCCAGATGGCATCCCCTCACAGGCAGGGCAGCTGCACCCCATCCCCACAGAGCTGTGCGGGCCTGGCCCCATCTTGAGTGCTGCTGAGCACCCCCACCCACCATGGCCCAAGCCTACAGAACCCCAGGGCAGGCCCACTTCCTGCCCAGCCTCCTCCTGCACCTGCCTCCCCCCCAACACCTGCTTCTGCCCACGCTACCTAGACCCTGCTCCTGTACTCAGCACCCCAGTGCTGCCCCCACTGGGGTGGGACAGGGCACCCATCTGCCCATGCCCTGGGCTCACCCACTCCAGCATTGCAACCCTGCACAGCACCTGCTGGGCCTGGGCCCTGGCCCTGCCTCCCCACAGCTCCCCTCCAGGGGCCGGGCTGGGCTGAAAGGTGCAGCCCAGGGTCAGAAGAACATAAATTGCATCCCTGTGTTCTCCTGACTCAGCCCTAGTACCTGATGTGGCACTAGGATCTGTGCTGCTCCCAGAGCAGCAACTTAAAAAATATTTTTTTTTAAACAATCTCCCCTCACACCTCCTGATGTGCCGAGAAAAAAGTTTCTGTGTGCAACTAACTGGCACATGCCAGGGGCTACCAATCCCTGATCTAAGCTGTCCAAGAGCTCTACTGCAATGCCTTCCAGGTATGGAAACTGACATCTTATCAAGTTAAACTAAGTTCACTGGGATAGGAGATAAGTACTGAAGATATTCATTCGGACGTTACCTTGGACCTACTGTATGCTCTTGTATACAGCGTGCACCCTTTCCCCCACAACTAGACTCCCTTAAAATTGGGGTCCATGTATTAATCAGGAAAGGTGTTTTCTTCACTGGAAAAGAAGCTAGTCTGAAGACAACATGCATGTCAGGCTGCTGCCAAGGTGCTGCCACTTGTGTCTGGCTCAGAAAGCTGCATGGGTGGAGTTCCTGTGTTAACCCTCTCACAGCCATAACTGTTGGCTGAGCACAGTAGCTTGTATCTAAAGCAAAAATGAGCTGCTGGTAGTATTTTATGAGGCTTGTGATGTGAAAACAGTATTTACAGGAACCTATATAAAGAACTACTTATAGTAAAGAATAAACAGTCTTGTTACTGCCCTTGCAAGGTCTGGAGCCTAACCTTGTGCAACAGAATAAAAGTTATCTTGGAAACTGTCCAGGAAATGTGACATCCCAGGAAACAACCTGCCACACCAGGGAGTTCCTACTACCTCACCAGATTGTCTCATGGGACACCACGCTCCCTGGTCACTCTATGTTCCCAAGAGCGTTTTTCCACTCTTTTCCGCTCTGCATTTTTCCAGAAGTGTGGCCAACTGTGTGACACAGAGTAAGCTCTACTGTCTGGAAAAATTCCTGTATTCTGCCTTCCAAAAACAAGTTCTGTGTTTTTTTGGGGGACATGTATATGAGAAGATACAGTATTTTGGCCTTCAAACCAATACAGTTGCCCAGGATGTGGCCACCACTAAGGACAAGTGACTAGTTAGAGTCACATGTGAATGTTTAAGACCACTGAAAGGTGTTCAATTCAAAGGATGCTGCTGACTCCTATTGCTATCTCTTACATCCCAGATATACCCATACATGCTGTATATGGTACATATACCATACAAATAAATAAAAAAATAGAATCATGTTTGGAGATAGGGAATTTATTATATATAAAAAAGCAGGTATGTGATTACTTCCATTTATCTCTGCTTATAGATGCTAAGATATGTTTATTCATGTCTTCAATGATCTGTGGTACCCCAGCAATTTTTGGTAAGTTTAATTCCATAGTAAAAATCACAGTTCCAACTCTGTGATTTAAAATGTTCTTTTCAAGATCAATTTTTCATAGCATGCACCTATGCCTCATCACCTGTACACTGACAACTAGTCATGTCTAATAGCTTATATATAGGTCAGATTTCATTAAGTGTACTATTATGATACTCAAAGTTATATTTCCTGATAGAGACAACAGCATGGCCTCATCGAGCCAAATTAAGAACAAATTTAAATTAGCCAATGGCTAAATACACTACACCCAGTTACAAAAGGGACAATCATGGTATTTAAACAATGAGGTTATATAGGAGTGCAGGTTCTGGACATTATACAGTATCACTGGTTTATCTAGCTAGAGACATTGCAAAATAATATAAGAAGTATCCATTATGTCAAAACACACAAACATGTTTTTCCAGTATTTTCCATCCAGCTCTAGAACATGGTATCTTGCAGAACTGATGCAGTCAGAAATCAGAAAGTTAACACACAGCTGCCTACTGAATAAAACTATCACATTTCAGACAGAAAAATATGCGCTCTACCGCCTTCCTCCTCAGAGAAAGGAAGTCAGTTGCATCATACTGTCAGGGTGCATCATACATCATATAAGCAGAGTGATGTAAAAGGTGTACCCAATGATTAAGTAAGCATTTTCCTAGGCAGTGGGGAATAGGTCAGTATACCTCCCACAGGAAGAAGGTACATCACTTATTGTTCCTTTTGTCAGGTTGTGCACCATGTAAATTTAATGTTTCAATGTAGATCCCTCCTCAAAATGCAAAATCATACACAGTAATTGTGTGCATCTCTGGAGTAATTAAATTTTAGGTGAGATCAAATGTACATAACAGGGGTCCACATACCCCTAAGGAAACTTACCCCACTGTGGATTAATCTGAAACTGAACCCCTAATTGACCTAGAAAGACCCTTAGAAATGTTAAGGTGAATGAAGGAATCTGTGGCCAACTAAGTCATTCAATATGTCCATATTTTTATACCTGAAGTTGCCTGTTCCACTGTTTTACACGGGTGCTCAAATGTTCGTCGGTTCAGAAAAAATAAATAAGAAATGAATACTTGGGGTGAAAGTCAAAAAATGACTTAAACCCTAAAGTGCAATTTAGGGATGTTTTAAGAACCTAAGTCCAAGAGAGTGATCTATCAAACCCTGACTAACCACTTAGGCCATTCCAAACTATTCTATAGTCTGGAGGTAAGGACACTCCCTGGGAGGCTGCAGATAATCTCTCTTGCTTCATGGGCATGTGGACAAATAATCCAGCTACCAGGTTCCTACATAAAAAGTGAGCACTACTGCCAGCTGATTCATAAAAGAAACAACTGAGTTGGTTATCATACTTATTCTTATATGTATCCATATTCTTAGCTTCAGGTGTTTACACAGTTTGGTTAGAGCTGGTTCATGCAAAGTTGTCAAACTTACAGTATCATGAGCCCTACCCCACCTTGAATTAAGCGGAAATCACAGAAAGGTGTTTACCACTATTAATCCAGTAACACATGATATGGAGTCAATGTGAGCTGCTTTGGGATGACTAAACCTTGAGTGCTACACCTTTAGCTCCTAGGGCAATCAGGATTTTCTCCACTTTTATGACAGCCCTATCTGGATCATATTACAGAAGATACCTATCCCTAATTCCACCTCCTCTCCCCCTTGAAACTATTCCAACTAGAAAAATACATCACTTCTGAATGCATTCACTACTGCCCATGCTCACCACTGAGGTATCAAACACAAAGTTACCATGACAAAGAAACCTGAGGCACCAGGAAGGGAAAAAGTCTGATGTTAAATCCTGGAATATGGCAAAGATCCCTACTGTAGGAGTTACTGAGGGCCTTAGACTTGCTTTTGAACTGAATTACATAGACTTAGTCACAGCAGTTAATCAGCTGAATCCACTTTATCTCCCCTAAAGAGATTTTTTTTTAAGTTTGCACTCAGTTTTAACCGAATTATGATGAGAAACTAACAAACAGGCACATGTGTGCGTGCACACACACATACCCCCCAGTCTTCTTTCCCACTCAATTCTGTAAAATCACAAATTAAAGTCCTTCAGAAAAGACCGGTGTGCTGCTTTTGAACCCTAATTATGTAACCATCATTTTCACCTACATGTCATATAACAAATACTATCACCATGATCAGGAAAATGGCACTGTTTTATATAAGTAAATGAATGCACTCCTCACTGATATATTAGAGTGTCATAGAGAAGTAGGGCTGGAAGGGCCCTTTAGAGGTGACCTAGTCCCATGCCCTTCCTGAGGCAGGATCATCCTGATCCAAACCATCCCATACAAACCATAATCTAAACTCTACATAAGCCTATCATCAACCCTGACACAACCTGCCACAGGCAAAGCAGGTCAGGGGAATAGAGAGGTGGAAAGAACCAGGGCTGAAAAACCCAACATGCAGTGGCAGCTTCCTAGCTCCAATCCCCTCTATTTCTCCACTCCCCCTTTCCTCAGAGGGGAGGTGTAGAGAGGACCAGGGCCAAAGAACCTAGCACCAGCAATAGCAGTGGCAGCCCCCAAGTGCTAGAGCAGCTGGAACTGGGAAACGCAACTCCGTTTGTAGACTGATTAATTATGAGCATTAATTATTTCTCTACTGGCCAGGTTTTCACTATCTGCCTTGTTGATTATGGCCAGCATCCTGACAAAAACTCTTCAGGAAAACAGTGTAAGTGTAGAAAACAAAGAAAATGAGCCACATAATGCAAAGCTAAAGAAAATCAGATTTAACTAAAATTAATAATACAAACACATAACAGAGTTGAAGACCACATGAAATGCATGCCCCACAAACCATATTACTGTTAGCTTTCCCCTCCTCTTTAGGTAACATCCTGACTCCAAGCTTCTGATACAAGCGTACTTCTATGTCATCCACCTCCCTGCTCAGGCAGACTTGCAGAACTTGCAGTCAGAACAGTATGGTGCCCCTATGCAGTTTAGGTACAAGTAAGCTTTAAAAAAGCAAAAGCAAACAAACAAAAAAAACCCCTCTGGTATAAGTCCTGGAAGACAGGTCTCCAGGAAAGAGACAAACACATACTGAGCCTTCAAATCACTGAGATGTCTGACTATCCAGAAACAGGAGAACAGCTTTTTTTTTTTTTTACTCCACAGTAAAACTCAGACTCCTACACAACTAATAGATCTCTTGTGAAAATTCAGATGCTGGTTTAGGAAAGACAGCATGATTTAACAGACAAAAGCAGAGAATTGGAAATCAGGAGTCTTGAGTTTCAGTCATAGCTATTCCACCAAACCGCTCTGAAGATGCATGTAAGTTACTTAGCCATTCACACTTTCTACAAAAATCAATGATGAGGAAAATGCAAAAAAAATGCCTTACTTCCATCTTTACTTTAATATGATGATGATTTATAAGCTATATTGTGTTTCTTTAAGCCAAGGTTGTGCTTTTTAGAAGGAATTTCAACTAGTCATAAAACTCACTTTTCCAGAACCAAGTGTCAAAAATTCACAAGCAAGTTTAGGGAATAAAACACAGAAGAATCTCCATTTAGACTATGAAAATGCATAATGAGTGTTTTAAGTGTTATCCAAATTTAGACGTTCTTTTACTTAATTCTACTGAAGATGGACTATTTAATTTTAATATTCTGAGTTGCGCATTACAATATCTCTTCAAGAAGTTTCATGAATGAAGATTCAGAAAAGTTACCATACCTGTCTTCCAACATTCTCCTGGAAGGCTGCCTAAGGAACAAAGAGAACAAACACACCAAATGAGTCAGGTTTGGTTTTTGATAAATACCAGATGAATTCAAAACATGCAGAAATATAAATGAACCATGGCTTTAATCTTTTATATAAAAGTAAGCAGAGTTAGAGGAATAGGCCTCTGGAATAGTGGTTTGTTGAGTTTTTGGTCCCGCTTTATGTTCTAATGCTTTTAAAGCTCTACGCTGAATGGCAACAGCTTAAAAATACAAGTTTATTAAAAAAGTCACAACCATAAAAGTTGTCTTTGGACATGTCTACACATGACCGTACAGCACCTTTGTTACTGCGCCATCTGTATTTCCTTTTGGAAGTACTACAACATGGCACAGTAACAGCCCATACTGCACCATGCCAATCGCATACAGTTATTTTTGGCTGCTACATCACCTTAAATGGGCTATAATGAGGAGCACGTTGCTACGGCGCCATAGTGGTGGCATCACAGTTTTGGCAATGGACACTACAGCACCGTAGCATTTCGTGTAGATGCGTCCTTTGATTGCTAACACAGACCTCCATCATAGTAGAATCAAAAGGAAATTTGACCACAAATATGGTAATCAAAATAAAGATGGTTTGTTATTGTTTAATTGCTTCATCAAAGTATCCATCCTATGGTATCTAAAGTGTTTTGAGTTTCTTCAAAAAGAAGAATCAGACAAATAAAATAGTTATCTCCTCTGTTTTGTCCTTTTTACTTAGAAAATGGTAACAGTAATATGTTTGGGATGCTACTGGTTTAACAGCATATTCTTCAGTAGAAAACATGGTTATTAGAAAGACAGGTATGAAAGGATATTAAAATACTAGTCTCTTAACTAGTAAAACTTGAGAACAAAATTTTTGTTCACTTCTTATTCCTGGCATTAAACAGACCCTCAGTAAGACAGAACTGACCTAATTAGTGCGCTACATCCTTATCTGTATCAAGGCAATTTACTATCCTGGGCTAAAAACCATGTTTATCCTTGGACTGAATGTGCTCAGCTTTGAGTAGCATCAATACAGAAGGGAATAATAATTTACACATATATCTAGAATGGCAATTAACTCAAATTAGCCCCAAACGTTGGGGGGAGGGGGACAGAAGGCAGTAGTTCACAGGTACTTAAGTGAGACAGCCAGCTTGTATGGCTGTAGAATCCCAAAATAAAAGGCATTGTTCCGGCATTGTATAGAACCAAAAAGAATATACTATTCTTTCAATAGTGGATCCCCAGATCCCTGCCACCTAGGCTTGATGCAGAACTTGCACTGTTGCACTGCTGCATGCAATTTTTTTAATATTTCTCTTTACAAAATAAACTATTTTGTCTAAAAATATAAACATAAGTGCAAACAACAATAAAAAAGGTTCAAATAGAAGTATCATAATAATCTGAATGATAAAAACCACTTTTCTGTAATGTCATTGTACTTATAAAGAAAGTTTGCTGGGAGCATACAGCACTTCTCATCTGACAATGTGTGCAAAACAAACTGAGAAACTTAAGCTAAGAATACTGCAAGAAGAACCAAAAGATCATAAGAGCCACACAGATAAATTAAACTCATGTTCAGTTCAATCGCAAAGGAACAGTAAATTCATAGCACTTTAATCCTACCACTGCCGGTTGTCTCCCCAGCAGTGCAGAAAGCACCCACATAAGGGACCTCCCACCTCTGAATGCTGCCAAAGCCCCACATCTGTGGGTTAGATACAAAGTTTTTGCAGGCTGAATCCAGCCCACAGGCTATAGGTTGCCAACCCCTACACAAAACGGATTCAACACTTCAACTAGTGACAGAAATTACACAAATTGGTCCAGGTGATTGGAAACTGGTTTAAGATAAACCTGGATGGGTGTAGTATCAGGCTGAACTAATTTACGTTAAATCGGTTTATTGAACTTCTGTCCTAGATCCCCTCCAGATTCAGGCCATCTGCTCCAGCAGAGCAGTGAGGTGTGTTCTAGCCCCCCCTGGCTTCTGGCTACTGCAGACATGGCTGCATTTCTGGAATCAAAAAGTGTTCACTTGCTTATTATTTCAATCAGCACAGCTTAAACTAACCTGTGAAAACTGAATCTATTCAGCCATGGGCTTTTTGACAGGCTATACTTAGCCTTGGCCAGCTGCACTATGGTTATCACATTGTTTTTAATGTTTTTGTTTGTTTGTTTGGGGGGGGGGGGTTGAGTAAAAAGCATTCAGCTGATTCATCAGTATACCTGGCCAAATGTTATAACAGCAGGAATTGGGGATACCTGGGTTTTCAAAGTATACACAAAGTACACAGCACTTGTTTCAAACTGCTAAGAAGTTTCATTTTACGTTTTTATTATATTTACCTGTGTACATAAGCACTGGTTTCAGACTACTGAAGTTTCATTTTATCATATTTAAGTAAGAGCCAACTGGCCAGCTGACTATGGATGAGTTTCCATTCAGTTCCATTCAGTCTGTATACTATAATGTAACTGTAAACTGATGAATAGTGGAAAGGAGGAGTTGTTGTAAAACATTTAAAACTGAGTGTGAACATTTAGTCAAGCCAGAATAAGTTTCCTTAACATGCAATGATTTTACATTTTGCTACTGTTTTACCACTGCATTATCTCAGTTACTTCTTAATAAAAAAGTCATACAAATGAAAGATCTAATCAGTAACTAAGTAAATTAGATGTGGTAGAAATATCCTTCCATCAAAGTAAAAGATTCCTTCTCTGATGAATAAACTGTTTTTACTAAATGGATTAATTTGGTAAACTGCAAAGAGATACCACATAATAAGGTAAAAACTTAGTAAGAGACTAGTAAACTTCCTGGCTTACTTATTGACTAGTTCTGTCTTCAGATAAGCATACAAAACTTCATCTTAATTCAGAACAAAACTGTTCATGTGTCTAAGGCAGTAATTCTCAAGCTTTCTAAACTCAAAGCACCCTTGGAAAAAATGCCAGTTCTTAGCTTTCATTTGTTTTTTGACTACAGAAGAATATTATAGCGTTTTTTCCTGTTGCAAAGAACTCAGGAAGATCGCAAGTTAGAATGTTTTTAGTACTAAGTACTCCTATTTGAAATCTCTGGGTTTATCTTGTGAATCGTGATGGCACAACTAACATGCTAACATAGCAAATGTAGACGAAACAGGGGCCCTAAATTGGAGTGATGGGCTTTTAAAAACACTGTTTCAATATAGGGCAAGGTAAACCCCCATGCCGTGTACACCCGTGTCTTACCTGCCTCTCCAGCAGCAGAGAGAGGGGAGGGCAAGCTGCTGGCAGGTGGAGCGGTCCCTGGGCTGCAGGGAGCGGGGCTGGTGCTTCCCTCCACAGTACTGGCAGCCCTTCCCCCAGGCGGCATCCATGCACAGGCACCCAGCTCGGGCAGTCCCAGGAGCCACCGCAGCCACAGAGGGAAGGACTGGGTCCCCGGCGCAACTCATGCAGGCAGGCAAGCTCCAGTGGGGGTGAGGAGAGATCAGGCTCAACATTTTTTTTTTTCCTTCAGTGGAGCCTGCCTTCCCAGACTGCTGCCAGGCTGCCTGCACAGGCTGCCTGCAGAGTCCCTGAGCTGCACGGAGTCTGGTGCTTCGCTCCGCAGCTGTAGAGCAGCAAACTAAAACTCCTCTGAAGTGTTTTAGTTTGCTGCACCCCAAAGTAATTTACGGCTCATTACACTGCCAAATGTGCTACAGTGGCTGGAATTGATGTGCAATATGCCGCCAATGTGTGCAAACGCCAACACCATTAAAGCAGTGCAAAACCATTTGACCCACTTTAAAGTGTCATGCACACATGCCCCTCATATCGTCTACACATGCTCGTAGTGTGGCACCTTACAGCACCCATGAAAGGATCTTGTGGCAGTGAGAATCACTGGTCTAAGGCTAATGGCATGGTTGGATAACAAAGCTAGTCTAACGTGCCTATGAAAACCTGTTCTGCATATTACAGCACAAGGAATTAGAAATTATAAAACCAATTACAATTTGTAAAATATGTGAGAAACAAAAATTTCTTAGGGTGATATCTTTTATTGGATCAACTACATAGTTGGGATAGACAAGCTTTTGAAAGCAACACAACCTTTGTTAGGTCTCCTGACTTACACTACTAAAATGTCTTTAAAAATCATCCTTAGTTCTCCAGCTTTCAGCAAACCACTGAGCAGCTATGAAATGTTCTTAGCTTACAGATTACATTTGATTAAAATGACAATAGTCAGTTCACTAGATGGGAATGGCTACCAGATCCAGGGGGGGAGTTAAATTGGTGTCATATTGAACCTACTCTCATTTGAACATACTCTCATTTGAACACTTGTGGGTGGGTATCCAAAAAAAGCTAATGGATACTTCTTTGCATGAACTTGCTCTTGTTAAGTCATGGGGAAATATTATTAAAGTAAAAGTAAAGAAAAAATGTTCAAAAAATTTCAAACAAAAGCCATAAAAATAGAAGTAAAGCCATATGTTATAGGAGAACGTTTTCTGGAAATGTATACTGGAGGGAAAAAATGGCATTCATTCCAATGGAATGCATTTTTTGAAATCTTATTTCAACTTCATATTTGGAATCCACCTGGCCACTGTCCATATTATTACATGTTCATTATACAATAAGTTTTATTTTTCACTTCTTTTTAATAAAAGTTATATTGGCACTTAACTCTATTTCTAGATTTCTATAAAATTTAGGTTTAAGTATTATAACATGGTATAAGCCATCTGTGCCATGGCACTGTCAGTCCCTGCCACTTTAAGGGCCGAGCCAAGCAGCCACCTGGTGCTTAACTGCAGCAGCCATTTTTAGATGCGTGGCTGCCTATATAAACAGGGCAGTTCGCTGCTGGCAGAGCAGGCAATAACATTGCCTGGCTGCTAGGCTAAATACAACATCCTGGAGGTAAGGGCAGGAGCTGTAGGGGATGGTTTGGAGGCTCCTGGTCCTGGGCATGACCTAAAACTGCACCCTGCCAGGAGTGGGTGC